ATACTTTAAAATGTTGTATTCTAAAATATTTTTCTGGAACCCAATGCTCTTTTAAATTCGAGGTAATAGAAATAATTCAAGAGATTTCATACATTTTTACAAATACGTTCAGTCCGCTATTATACAAACTAATACTTTAGTTTGCTCATGGAATGAAACATATAATTTTGGAAAAGGCTATGTATGATGGTTAATTAACTAATTTTATTTTTTCCTATACGAAATAAAAAGGTTTTAATTTTTATCATCCTTCAGGAGTTCTTGTTAATTTATTGAAAATAAGTATTAGAAAAAATCAATAATATATAATTAAGACTTTCTCATCCTACTTTCTGTTCTTTTTATTTTTACCAAATTTTTAGTAATTTTGTTGTCACCTTTTTTTTTTTAATTCAAAAAAATACATAAATTTCGAAAATATTATTGACAATTTATTCCAGAATTACAAACTTACGGATTTGAATATATCTCTCAATTCATTTCATACATTCTCATACATATTTTTCCGAAAAAATCTTGGAAGTATGAGTTATAAACCTGACATCTATACACCGAGATTTAAAATTATTTCAACGGAATTTTCAATATTTTTGTGACATGAAAACCATTTTTAAAGTGTTTTGAGGAAGACAAATAAAATTGTTTATATAAAAAAAGTAAAACTAGAAATATTATACTTATCCTTCCGAAAACACATATAGGTTTTATACCATGAGCAACTAGTGTAATTAATAGAGTTTTAATGTAATTTTTGCATTCAGAAATATTTTAAAGTTAGAGACATTACATATTGCTAAATTTACAAAAATTTTGAAACAATTTTTAGCATTTCTGTTTATCTTAATACCACGGAACTTAATTTTTTACCCTACTCCACTATACTACGTTTAAGTATACTAATCGGCTAAGAATCATTTTCAGAATCTGAAATTTTCTAAACAATAAGCACGTATGCTATTTGGTCCAATGATAAAACATTTAAAAAATGGTTAAAGTCCGTCCTTTATTTTACCTAGCGCCCATACATATACAAATGTATAAAGCCTCTCTCAGAAAATTAGTTTAAATATATCGCAACCAAGGTTCAATTCAACATAAATGCTTTATTACGAAAAATAAATCAAATTTTATACTCATATGGTCAACCACGGCAGAATATACTTTCTTACTTGTTATAAATTACAATGAATTTCAGTTACAAATTAATATGAATTGTTCATGAAAACACTTAAAAAATTTTAGAATTTTTTGTTTTTGGCATTTTAAAATCAATCTAGCATTATTTTAGATGGGATTTAGCCGCAACATTTTTTGAGACCTGGTCACAGTGATCACACTGCATAGAAACATTGACTCTCATCAAATAGAATTAAATATGGGACAACTTGCAAGACAATGTCGCTCATCTTGCCGTCAGTATAGTCCAATATAAGACAACATCCAAGACATTGTCGCTCATATCATCATCGTGTGTATTTGTTAGAAGAAAATATTTAAGATTAGTCGCTCATACTGTCGTCAATAGAGTTATTTAAAAGACATCGTTGAAGACATATTATCTTAAACTGTCAGTAATATAATTAATAGAGAGAAGTATATACGAGTTTATTCTCTCAATAGCTTATATAGATGACGATTTTAAAGACATTGTCTTCTATGGTGTCTTCATAAAAAAAGCCCAAAAGACAATGCTTAAGAATTTATCGATCATATAGTCGTCAACAGAGTAAGTTACATGACAATATTCTAGACCTTGTCGCCCATCTTTTCATTATTTCTGTTTGATACAGGACTATTTTGAAGGCGTTGTCTTACTTCATGTCTTTGACATCGTTTATAGAAGAATATATTAAAGACACAGTCGCTAATCTTGTCGTTAACGAAGATTTCTTACACATTGTCGTTTAGCCAACTTCAGCGATAGGGGACAAATTCGAAAATGTCTTGCATGAATCGTCGAAGACAATGTCGCCTACGATCATTTTTCCAACTGGGTAGGTTCACTGTTTTGTTCACATTCAAATTAAATATTTGTAAAAAGTAAAGGACTAGTTAGTAATTTTATAATTTTAGATAATAACATGATGTCTTAGGTATCACTAGTAAGACAAAAATTGCGAAATATCTAATAGCTGATTTTTAGTATTTTTTTTCTAACATACTACGTTTTTTAGCTATATTTTTTGGTTCACTTGATTCGGTTCATTCGGAATAAAATCAGTTTACTGCTGGCAGTGGAAAAAATCTATTTATATTCGGCTGTCTGTGAATATAGACATATATTTTTTAAAAAATAGGCCGCGGTAAGCATTTGCCTGAAGAATAAAATTGCAAAATTTTACTGGAAACAGCTTTTTTCACATTTTCGGATATCTTCAACCCTTACCGTGGATATTTCAAAAATATAATGCCCAGATCCATACCGCCAGGGCTGTAAATAGATGCCAGAATGTAAAAATTTTGGAGTAGCCTCCATAATCTTCTAACCTATTTATTATTGAAAATGTTTCGGATATTCTTTCTCGTAAAGTGTATAGGTCGGACAGACAGTATGACACAAAAGAATCCTAAATTGAAGGAACTAAAAAGGCTTGGACCGAAATGTATTTGTCATTACTTAAGAATCTTAATAACTCTTAATCACCTCGAATTTTCGAAGTTATCTCAAGTAACGGCTGATATGTTTCTTACTCAATCTTTTCTAAAACGCGCAAGAGCGTAAAAATACAAAAAATTATCTTCAGTTGCTTAACAGCGTGCAACAATGTAGGTTGATGTCGCTTTGTTTCAAAAATTGCAATAACAATTTGTAAAAACAACAACACAATTTGTAAACAAGAGAATTACTTGCAAAAAACTCGTACACTCCAAAAAAATTTTACAAATGCATAAGAATGAAAACATATAAAAACAGTATTTTTAATACTTTTTTTACTCATTTTAAATAAAAAACTTTATCTTTGTGAAGAAATATATATATTTCTTTTCTTTGAATGTTTTATCTGCAAAATTTACTATTTTACTTGTTACGAAATTTGATCATAACTAGCGTAATTAGGCTAGTTATGATCACCACTACAATAACAGTTTCTTCGCGTCTCTCTTTCTGCGCTTGGCTGATCTAGTGCAGCTGATCTAGTGATACATAAGACATTATGCTATTAATTAAAATTTTATTATAAGCAATTAGACCATTATTTTTTACAAAAAATTAATTTGAATGTAAACAAAATAGTGAACCTATTTAAGTGAGCGGGAGTGTATCTCCTCTTTCCCCCTCCCTTTCCCTCTTTAATGATTTTTAGAAAAACATTTTTGAGTAACACATTTTTGACCGATTACGGAAAAATATTTAAAGAAAAAAAATATATACATATATATCTTAAATTTCATAAAAGTACAAAAATGTACCAGAGGAACACATAATTACCCGTTTTTGCTCATTTAGGTTGAATTTCTTGTTCCCGTTTCCCCCCTAAGGGTGGGCTTTCGAAATAAATATATTTCTGAGACTACAAAACTCATCGTCTAAAATATTTTTTCTTTACAACGAAAAAAATAGTCTTAAAACACAGAAGTACTAATTTTTCCCGTTTTTTTTTTGTCCTTTGTCCTATTTTTGTCTACTTCATATATATTTCAGACACTTTAAAAAGCTTAATTGCTTTTTTGCTGAAGAGTAGATAATAATTAGTACTTACTCTCAAAAGTACTAATTTTGCCCATTTTTCATCCATAAACCCCTTCTTGTCCCCTTCTAATCCAAGTTTTGAAAATCACCTTCCATTTTGAAACATAAATATAACAATGTTCGAAATTTAAAGAAAATCCTTCCAGCCGTTTAAGTGTGATTAAAAAAGATAGCATTGTTTTAAAAGTACCAAAAAAAAGTTTAAAAGAATACATTGAAGTAGTTTGAATTGTCTGAAGATATGCATTTTTTGATTCTTTTTACGCAGCAAATACATATTTCCTTTTTTACCGTTTTTCCCCCTAAGGGAGATTATACAAATCATAGTCTATAATATTTTGACTTTATAATAGAAAAAATCGGTCTTAAAGCAGACCGACCATTTCGACCATTTGGCCTATTTTTTGTACCCTTCTGGTCCAACATTCCCAACGACACTTTGCTAGTACATATTTCTGACAAATTAAAAAGATTAATCAAAAATGGTTTTGCTTAAGTATAGATAAAATCAGTATTTTCTCTCAAAAGTACTAATTTTGGCCGTTTTTCACCCATTTTACCCCCTTGTTGTCCTATTCTAGTCCAAGTTTAAAAAAAACAAGAAAGTATAGTTGGGCGTGACCGACCATATGATACCCTACACCAGTTGTGAATATTAATTGTGATTTATTTTTCATAAGAAAGCATTTATCTGCGATTACCTTGTTCCGATACATTTAAGCAATTTATGGATGAAAAACTAATTTTCTGAAACAGGCTTTATGTGGGAGCTAGGGGCAAATATTGACCATGCCCGATAAAATTTTGTGAATATATTTATATTTATATAATATTTTATTGTGCTGAATTTAATCGCGATATTTGTGTTTATAAGTTAATATAAGTTAATTTTGGAGCTCAGAAGCCCTTTTCGGGGGGTTCTGTTGTATGGGGGCTAGGTGAAATAATAGACCGATTTTAACCATGGGCCAAAACAAGCGTGTGTGCCAAATTTCATCCAATTATCTTGAAAATTGCGACCTGTACCTTACGCACAAAGTTTACATGGACAGCCAGCCAGACGGACGGACAGACGGACATAGCTTAATTGACTCAGAAAACGATTCTAAGCCGATTGGTATACTTAAAAGTGGGTATAGGGCGAATATTTTTGTATGTTACAAACATCAGCACAAACCCAATATACGCTCCCCACTAAAGTGGTTGGCTAAATTCTCTATCTATATCATTATTCGGTAATGAATATTGTGCATACAATTGATTTTCTGGAGGTGACCTTGTATGGGAGCTATGGCCAAATATGGATCGATCGTGAACAAATTTTATGGTGTGATTTATGTAAGTATATAAGAGCGATATTTGTGCTATCGATATCAATATTTAGTAATGAGTTATGTGCGTTTAAGTAATTTTCGGAAGGGTCCCTTGTATGGGAGCTATGACTAAATATGGACCGATCGGAAAAAAATTTCACAGTAACATTTCTGTATATAAGAGTAATACTTGTACCAAATTTTATATCGATATATTAATTTAGTAATGAGTTGTATGGGAGCTATGACCAATTAAGGACCGATGGGAAAACAATTTCACAGTAACATTTCTGTATATAAGAACACTACTTGTACCAAATTTTATATGGATATCTTAATTAAGTAATGAGTTATGTGCGTTTAAGTGATTTTCGGGAGAGGACCTTGTATGGGAGCTATGTCCAATTATAGACCAATCCTGAAAATTTTTTCTTTGAATTAATTCTATTCTCATAAGATTTTAACTTGTAAAATTTTGTGAAGATATCAATATTCTGACGGAAGTTATTAACAATAAACTTGTTGTTTTAAATTTTGATTCATAACTTTTCCCGATGTGAACCGATTTTGCTCATTTTCAATACCAAACTGCCTAGGACAATAGTAAATATTTTGGGTGAATTTCGTGAATTTTTGTTGTTTCGTATTAACGTGAGAATGTTTTATACAGACAGACAGATAGACAGACGGACGGACAGACGGACATAGCTAGATCGACTCAGAATTTCATAAGGTCCAAGAATATGTATACTTTGTTGGGTTTCAGATGAATATTTCTTGGTGTTACATACGGAATGACAAAGTTATATACCCTCATAATAAGAAAGCAAACTTATACAGATCTGAAGTTATTATTGATTCGTCAGGTATATGGAAGTTGCCATAGGAGGAATAAATTGACCTTTGAATATATAATGCATCTATATCAATAAAAAATTTTATGTCCAACACTAGTATAAATAGAGTTCAGGCTCGCGACGATTCATCGGGAACGGAAGTAGACGACGACTGTCTCGACATAGACATTGAGCCACTGCTTTAATTGTGACCACCCTCCGCTCGCTACGCCTGTGGTTGTTCAAATTACTGTGAATGACACTTAGGAATATTGACAGGTGTCCTTACTTACTTCCTGATAATCAACCTAAGCGCCATTACAGTTTGTGAAAAACCCCAGAAGCATAAATTCTAGGACAGCGACAATTACCCTTATGTTTCGATAAATAAAATCCGTTTTGAGAACGTTTGACAACTTCTCGATTTTTATTATACTCACGCAGTAAACAAGGAAGTGCATTTTATAATCAACGTTATTTATTCGTCTTAATAAGTAACAAATTTCTTCATATAATGGTTGGAATTTGTTTAAATACTTAATTTTTTATTGGTTTAAATGCCAACTTTTTACTAATTTCCTGATTGTCTGAAATTGTAAATCTCCATTTTATATGCATAGTATATGTTTAACATTTCCTAACATTTGTTTAACAATCTCAACTATCCAAAATTTTTAAAAATCACAATAAAAAATCAAAGAAAACATACAATTTTGTACTAAAAATTAGATTTTTTTGAAATCGGTTAACCGAGACTTAAAAACCGGATAACCCGGTTAACCGAAAACCAATGTTTTAAAAAAACCGGTTTGCGAAAAACCGAAATATGCAATAAAAACCGGTTCTTCGGTTAACCGGTTAACCGGTTTATAAACACTACCTCTATCACAACTGATGGTGGTGGAGGGTATAAAAAAGTATTAATATAAAAGTAGCTGGTGGAGGGTATTTAAGATTCGGTTCTGCCGAATATAGCACTCTAACGTGTTTTTCTCTCTTTTTCCTTTTGCAGATGGATCAGTTCCCGAATATGAAATGTGCCTGGTCTGTTTCCGCTACCACCCTTTTCGCTACTGCAGGCAGTTTAAGAAGATGACGGTAAAACAAAGACAATATGTCTGTTTCGCCCGCACGCATCTAGTCGGAGGATGTATTCCAATGGAAGCCTGCCAGGAGTGTGGAGATTTGCACCACACCATGTTGCATCCTGAGCGGTCCCAACGACAGCGTCAACAACCACAGCAACGACAACGTCTTCAACAACAACTACAACGACGTCAACAACAACCACAACAACGTCAACACCAACCGCAACGTCGTCAACAACAACAACGTCGTCGATCACTACCTCGCCAGCAGATGCAATCGTCACGTCGCCGTCAGCAACAACCTTAACGTCGCCGTCAGCTGGTACAACGTCGTCGTCCCCAACCACGCCGTCGTCAATCTGTTGCAGTTACCCAAAATACCCAGGAATTGGTACAACGGATCGTTGCAGCTATGGGCCAATTGTCGGGGGCATTAAACATTGCACCAGTGCAAGAGGGGCGTGATGTCGAGGATCGATCTGGCAACGACTTGATCGACCTCGACTAAGCCGCATCGGCCACATATTCAGCGGCGATGTAAGTACGGTTCCAACCGTACTTTCGCGGCTAAGGAAGAAGAAGAAGTCAGTCTTCGACTACAACCGAACGCCAGCGGCCATAAAAAACAAACTAAAACTTTAAAAAAACATTTAAAACCAAAAAAGACAAACATATAAATATAAAAGAATTTTAAATAAAACAAATTCACAAACATTTATATAAACAATTAAACAAACATTCATACAAACAAGAAAAAGACATTCAAAATTAAAAACAAGTTAAAGTGCTATATTCTTAAATACCCTCCACCAGCTACTTTTATATTAATATTTTTTTAATTGATCAAATATTTGTAGAAATAAGTTTTCTCATGTCTTAAATAGAAAAACTCCAAGATTTAAACGGCTTAAATCTGTTACAATTGCAAGATTTATTGAACATTACAAACTCCATTTTGTTTTATATTTTTAAAGCGCCTTAAGATATGATTTAGCGATATTTAATTTGTGTGAAAGATTTAAGGAAATTAAAATTTTCGGGTCAGGACCTAGTATGCGATATACGACCAATTATGAACCGATCGCAAAAAAAATCTTTAAGTACCATTTGTGTATATAAAGGCTATATTTCAGTCAAATTTTTTATCTATATCGTAATTTGGTAATAAGTAATGTATGTTTAACTGATTTTTTGAAGGGAACCTTGTATGGGACCGATCGCACCCATATTATGAACCGATCGTGAAAAAATCTTAAAATATAATTTTTGTATACAAAACGAATATTTGTACAAAATTTTGTATCAATAGCTATATTTGGTAATGAGTAATGTGCGTTTAAGAGATTTTCGTAGAAGGACCTTGTATGGAGCTATGACCAATTATGGTCCGATCGTAAAAAATTCCACAGTAACATTAATGTATATAAAGACAAAATGTTAGCTAAATTCTGTATCTGTATCATTATTTGGTAATGAATATGCATAAAATTGATTTTCTGGAGGTGACGTTGTATGGGAGCTATGACCAAATATGGACCGATCGTGAACAAATTTTTGCAATATTTGTGCTATCGATATCAATATTTAGTAATGAGTTATGTGCGTGTAAGTGAGGGAGGGGACCTTGTATGGGAGCTATGACCAATTACGAACCGATCGGAAAAGAATTTCACAGTAACATTTCTGTATATAAGAACAATACTTGTACCAAATTTTATATGGATATCTTAATTTAGTAATGAGTTATGCGTGTTTAAGTGATTTTCGGGAGAGACCTTGTATGGAATCTATGTCCAATTATGTGAATTCTGAGTGAATTCTATTCTCATAAGATTTTAACTTGCTAAATTTTGTGAAGTTATCAACATTCTGACGGAAGTTATTAACAATAAACTCATTTTCCGGGAATATGTACTTTTGTATGGGAGGTATATGAAATTTTGTATACTTTGTTGGGTCTCAGATGAATATTTCTTGGTGTTACACACAGAATGACAAAGTTACCCTCTATCACCACTGATGGTGGTGGAGGGTATAATAAGTGCCGTGAGTGGTTCCCACAAAAACACATACATTTATTAATTTCAAAAAAAAAAAAACAATGAAGTACGTATAGTAGGGCGTGACCGACCATATGATACCCTACACCAGTTATGAATATTAAATGTGATTTATTTTTCATAATAAAGCATTTATCTTCTATTACCTTGTTCCGATACATTTAAGCAATTTATGGATGAAAAACTAATTTTCTGAAAGAGGCTTTATGGGGGAGCTAGGGGCAAATATGGACCAAGCCTGATAAAATTTTGTAAATATATTTATATTTACATAATATTTTATTGTGCTGAATTTCATCGCGATATTTGTGTTTATAAGTTAATTTTGGACATTCAAGTAATTTTCTGAAGGGGACTTTGTATGGGAGCTAGGGTCAAATGAGGCCCGATCTCTATGAAATTTGGCAAAGTCATCAAGGCTTGTATAAAACTTAGTTGTGCGGCTTTTTATCAATTTACAGGTATATTTAGCATAATTATGAGCTCAGAAGCCCCTTTCGGGGGGCTAGGTGAAATAATGGACCGATTTTAACAATTTTCAACAGGCTTCGTCCTTGGGCCAAAATTCGTGTGTGCCTAATTTCATCCAATTATCTTGAAAATTGCGACCTGTTTACATGGACAGCCAGCCAGACGGACGGACATAGCTTAATCGACTCTAAGCCGATTGGTATACTTTAAGGTGAGTATAGGACGAATATTTTTGTCTGTTACAAACATCAGCACAAACCCAATATACCCTCCCCACTAAAGTGGTGTAGGGTATAATTACATCCCTCTTCCCAATTTGTTGTGGATCGGCCTATATTTGATCCTAACTCCCATATAAAGCCTCTTCTAGAAATGTAGTTTTTCATCAAAAAATTGCTTAAATACATTGGAATTAAGGTAAAATTCAGCCTAAAAGTTTCTTTATTTAAAATAAATAATTTTCAAAATATACCCATGGTGTACTTGTTATACCCTACACTACTTTAGTGAGGAGGGTATATTGGGTTTGTGCTGATGTTTGTAACATACAAAAATATTCGTCCTATTTTCACCTTAAAGTATACCAATCGGCTTAGAATCGTTTCCTGAGTTGATTAAGTTATGTCCTTCCGTCCGTCAGTCTGGCTGGCCGGATGTCCATGTAAACCCTGTGCGCAAGGTACAGGTCACAATTTTCAAGATAATTAGATGAAATTTGGCACACACGCTTTTTTGGCCCAGGGAAGTCTATTGAAAATGGTTAAAATCCGTCCATAATTTCACTTAGACCCCATACAACAGAATTCCCCGAAATGAGCTTCTGAGCTCATAATTATGTTAAATATACATGTATATCGATAAAAAGCGGCAAAACTAAGTTTTATACAAGCCTTGATGACCTTTCCAAATTTCATAGAGATCGGGCCTCATTTGACCCTAGCCCACATACAAAGTCCCCTTCAGAAAAATTACTTGAATGTCCAAAATTAACTTATAAACACAAATATCGCGATGAAATTCAGCACCAATAAATATTATATAAATATATTCACAAAATTTTATCGGGATTGTACCAGAATGTACAGAAATAACAAGTTAGAGTGGTATATTCGGCTGAGCCGAATCTTAAATACCCTCCACCAGCTACTTTTATATTAATACTTTTTTAATTGATAAAATATTTGTAGAAATAAGTTTTCTCATGTCTTAAATAGAAAAACCCCAAGATTTAAACAGCTTAAATCTGTTACAATTGCAAGATTTGTTGAACATTACAAATTTCTTTTTCTTTAATATTTTTAAAGCGCCTTAAGATATGATTTAGCGATATTTAATAATTTTGTGAAAGATTTAAGGAAATTAAAATTTTCGGGTCAGGACCTAGTATGGGAGATATGACCAATTTCTGTATATAAAGTCTATATTTCAGTCAAATTTTGTATCTATATCGTACTTTGGTAATAAGTATTGTGTGTTTAAGTGATTTTCGGAAGGGAACATTGTATGGGACCAATCGCACCCTTATTATGAACCGATAGTGAAAAAATCTTAAAATATAATTTTTGTATACAAAACTAATATTTGTGCAAAATTTTGTATCAATATCTTTATTTGGTAATCAGTATTGTGCGTTTAAGAGATTTGCGTAATAGTACCTTGTATGGAAGCTATGACCAATTATGTAACATTAATGTATATAAAGAAAAAATGTTGGCTAAATTTTGTATCTTCAAGTTATTTTCTGGAGGTGACCTTGTATGGGAGCTATGACCAAATATGGACCGACCGTGAAAAAAATATTTGTACTGAATATATCGATATCAATATTTAGTAATGAGTTATGTGCGTTTAACTGATTTTCGGCAGGGAACCTTGTATGGGAGCTATGAACAAATATGAACCGATCGTGAAAAAATTTTAAATAACATTTCTGTGTACAAAAATAATATTTATGAGAAAATTTTTAATGGATATCACTATTTGATAATGAGTTATGTGCGTTTAAGTGATTTTCGAGAGGAAACCTTGTATGGAAGCCATGGCCAATTAAGGACCGATCAGAAAAAAATTTCACAGTAACATTTCTGTATATAAGAGCAATACTTGCACTAAATTTTATATGGATATCTGAATTTTGTAATGAGTTATGTGCGTTTAAGTAATTTACGGGAGGGGACGTTGTATGGGAGCTATGACCAATTATGGCCCGATCGGAAAAAAATTCTGTATACAAGAGCAATACTTGAACCAAATTTTATATGGATATCTTAATTTAGTAGGGACCTATGCATTTTTAAGCAGTAGTCAAGCTCTCGTGTAGAAAGGTATGAATGATAATTTTCATGCAATTATATTGTATAGTTTTCGTGAAAATATATCAGAATGTAAAAAATGCTTATTTTTTTCGGAGTTGTTTTAAATTTTGATTCATAAATTTTCCCGATGTGAACCGATTTTGCTTATTTTCAATACCAAACTGCCTAGGAAATAATAAATATTTTGGGTGAATTTCGTTAATTTTTGTCGCTTCGTGTTAACGTGAGAATGTTTTATACAGACAGATAGACGGACATAGCTAGATCGACTCAGAATTTCATAAGGTCCATGAATATACCCTCTATCATCACTCATGGTGGTGGAGGGTATAAAAATACTTTACTGTTTATAATTTAAGAACAATTTTTCATTATAAATAAAAATATTATTAATGAGAACAAAATTCATTAGTTAAATTGAAGAAATTTCTTCAAAAACAACAAAAAAATATATTCAAATTATTATATATTATAATTATATTAGTTAATTTAACTAAAATTTCTTCATATTTACCACCCCTAAACAACGCAACGATATTAGTAAATATGAAGAAATTTATTCATATTAACTATTTACTAAAATACAAAAAATTAACGAATAAAACTGTAGCTGGAATAAAATTTTAGTTGGCTGTATAACAAAATTTCGTCATATTTACAACCCATTTTGAAGTATTTAGGTAAATTTTTGGTTCTGTGCGTGATGTGTATTTAACATAAAGTTCTCTTAATAAATAGGTTTTCACTTAGGGTTCTCTTAGTTATTATACCCTCCACCACCATCAGTGGTGATGGAGCATATATATATGTACCTT